TTAACTTTGGTCATCGTACGAGAACCGCTGTATTCAACGTAAAATGTTTGGATACATGCTGTCAATAATTGACCAATTTAATTTCTTAGGTTTCGAGTGGCGACATTTGACGAGCAACAAACACCATCAATAATAATAATAATAATAATAATAATCAACGAAGAAGCTGCACTCTTCAAGAAACAGCTTAATATAGTTAAAATCCTACTAACAAAAAACGAATCGAATACCATCCACGCCTAACGAGTAAAACAGAAAGCAAAACAACTTGGCTTGAAGTTACAAAAAAAATAAAAAATAAAATAAATAAAATAAAATAAAAATAATAATAAAACAAAAACTGGCAGGACAAGAAGTTTCATACATAAAAAACGAAAGAACCAGATGTGGACCAGAATCGGGCTGAAAACTGAGACAGGAGGCCTAATTATTGCAACTCAGGACCAACGCCTCGCAATCAGATCGTATCTTTGTCACATAATCAAGGATGGAATTAAACCGAAATGCAGGATCTGCAGAAAATATGATGAAACTGTCGACTATATTATCTTAGGAGATTTCCACAGACATAACTACGTAGCGACATATGTACACTGGAAGATATGCAAGAAGCACAAAATCGAACCCACTGATAGATGGTATGAGCACTAACCAGATACCATTACCCAAAATAACGATGTAACTATCCTCTGGGGCATGCCAATTCAAACTGACAGGGAAATAAAAGCTAAAAGACTTGATATTATCATAAAACACAAGAAATTCAGTAAGTGCATGCTTATTGACATAACAGTACCATCTGAGAGAAATACCTCCATAAAAATTACCGTGAAATTGTCCAAATATAAGGACGTGTAGCTCGAGATTAACAGGATGTGGGAATGAAGACTGAGACTGTACCAATAGTAATCGGAGCACTGGGCCTCGCGAGAAAAGGAATGGACAACTTTACCAACAGTGTCCTAGGTAACATTAACAAACATACAAGTTGCCGAGAAGATTTCCATTCTACGAACATCCCATATACTAAGAAAAGTGCTATCAATTAAATGATAATTCTCCTATAGAGCCTAAGGACTATAGTTTGGACCCGGGTCTACAGGATACAAAGCAGGAACATAACAAGCACACATAATAATAAAGTGATAAAAACATCTCTGCAAAGGTTTTTGAAAATAGTAAGCAGATACCAAAACCTGGATATGGAAATAAAAAAAAATGTGGCACATAAAAATTTAAATTGTTGCTGTTATGGTTGGAGCTTTGGGGCTGATAAAAAAAGAAACTCAACAACTAAACAACAAAAACCCTGATACACCATCTCTCCAGGAAATACAAAAGATAGTTCTAACAAGCACAGCCCATATCCTGCAAAAAGCTTTGTCCATTTAAATTTTTTTTGTTAATAGCTCCCTCTTTTTTTTTTTTAAGTAGATACAACAAAAAAAAATCCCTTCTTTCGCTTGCCCTAGTCATTTGTTATGAGTCGGCTTGTGATTAAATAAATGTAGGTCAAAAAGGATTTTTTTACTATAATAATAATTTAACAATTGGTTTAGACGAAATATTGAAGGTTGTAAAGTTTACTGATAAAGTTTAGTATCATACTCTTCATGTAAACAACGGTAATTAATTAATTGAAAACAGCGAATAGTAATGTTATAAATCAATACAACCTAACCTTTCTGAAGTTAAAAGTGCCAAAGTCAAACTTAAAAATAAGACAGCAGATAATACGGAATCAACGATAAATCTTCCAAAATGAAACATAGCTTTTCTTTTAGATGTTTTGACCTACAAATACCATTCGTGAGTAACCGTCGACATCAAAGAATGATCGAGTTTTCGTGTCAAACGATCAGTAAACTTTTGGACGAATCTAAAATTTGATCGTTTGCATTTTAGTTTAATGACAAATAGTTCTTTATAAGCACGAACCATTATTGGAATGATAAAGAAATGAATTTGAATAAGAATGTACCAAAAGATATTTGTTGAACTGAATTAATTTCCGCAAACATTATTCGTTTCATATTTATGATGAACGACTTTTTAATATAGAATTTCAAAATAACTTCTCACCTTAACCTGAAGGTAATTTGTTATCGACCAATGCAGAACCAATTTAGAAAGAATTAAATGGATACGTGCAGGTGTCCCGGTCTATGGACGTTTTGGTTATAAGTGCATCTCGTTCTTTTTGTTGATATATTCCTTGGTGACTACAAACAAGTAAACGAAATTAACTTGATATATTTAAAGTGATTTACAAAATCTGGCATAAAATCCCGACAGAAGAATGTTTGACCACTTCACTATGCCAGCCAAATTCGATATACGTACGTAGGTACGTATAAGAGACACTTCGAAAGGAGTATCTACTATTTATTTCCACAGGAGCAACAAGAGATCCAGGAGACACCTTTGGACAGAGAATGCGTTTCACTACAAAACACTACTATTCCACATATTACGAACCATTGGTTGGGCATCTCAACGTGGTGTAATGGTTAGAAAACTTGTCTTTCTAGATCAATTACGACTGAGTAGTTACTTCGATCCTCACTTGGTGCCACCTACTATCGGCCTTGTGCCACATCTAAGCCTTGCTTCGAAAATCACTATTCCCTACCATTGGTTGTATATTTTGTCAACGATGGACAAGAGCTTGAATTTTTTTTTATTGAATTTCTGAGGAGTTATCAATATATATACTATTTATATATATCAATATATATACTATTTATATATATATATATCAATCTATATACTATTTATATTCGGAATAGTGTCCTCATCCTTGTAGTTTTATCACAACGTTTCGGTCGTTTACCCTCCGGCCTTCCTCAGGCGTGTATCAATCTGGGTAATCGCTAGCGAATTTTGAATTAAACCCTTTATTTAATCTACGGGGTAAACTGTTCTCGTTCCACTGTCCATGTCTAGGGCTATCGTCTAGTTCTTATTTTTGTTTCATACTGCTCAGTTATTGCTCGTCCGTTTTCACTGAATACACACTGCCCGAACATGGATTGAACTCACAAACACTATGTCAACAAATTCACAAACAAACGCCTTTACCCACTAGGTCATTGTCACAAAACAGTCGTAATTTAAATAGTGTAAATAAAGAGCCTGTATTTTTATAAGAATCTGTATCGATAGAGTGGCGTATCATTTATTTTAAAGCATGGTTTATCAAGTCCATCGCTTTTGCCACGGCTTAAACCATTGACACCGACCTATGACCCATCTACTGCCAGGGTAATGGTGATTTTCTTAGCGTAGCTTACATATGGCACGATACTGAAAGTTTGGAGCACCCAATGAGTATCAAACTCCCGAATTAGACGGAATTGTTCTAGAGAGGCAAGCTTGCTAAACATTAAACTATATTGCAGCGCCCAAAGATGATTTTCTAAGGGTAGCTTATATTTGTCACAAAGCCGAACGTGTGGAGCACCCAGTGAGGATCTATCTCCCTAATCAGTCGAAATTACCATTACACTACATCGAAATGCCGCTACTGGCAGGGCTAATGAATGGCAATGGGTACAGTTTTTCCACATGAAGAAATATATTTTTGTTTTGTATACTCTTTAATGCTAGACACACTTTTGCCAGACTGCCGCTCAGCTGCTATCTGTAACAAAGTAATGAATAAAAATGATTAAATAAAGATAAAATAAAAAGAAATAAATAGAAATAAAAATGGTATAATTTTATTATTGGCGGGAACGACCAACTGCGGTTACCATAGCACCTACAACGTCGAGGGCCAAAAAAAAAAAAAGGTTTAAAACTACTTGGTAAAAATTAACATTTCTCTATTATTGTAGCATATTGAACCATACAATTTCAGTTAATGGAAACAAACTGCAATATCACAGCATCCAAAGTTGAAAATCGTCTACGATTTGAAGAAACGAACAGAAGGAAATTTGGTCTAATTTGAAATTTGGACTAATTTGAAATTTGGTTCTAATTTGAAATTTGGCCTGATGTGTGAATTGATTCTAAATAATAATCTTCAATATGTTTTTATACTTAAAAAAAATAGCAAATAAATAAAAAGTAACCCGTCAGTTTCTGACATTCAAAAAAACCGAAATAGTAGCATTACAAGGAGAGGGTTACACAGAGCATGAAATCTAAGCCCATAATGCTTTTGCGAAGCTGATGGCTATTATTTGACCGAAAGAAAAGAGCAAATCCTAGAAAAACAACCCTTAAAGATTATCTAGTCAACAAATATATCTTTTCATGATCTCTGACAATTTCATGAAAAAAAAAAAAAAAAAAAATAGAAAAGAAAATCGAGCTGTTCTTCTACTTAGGCGTACAGATGTGAATCGTAGGAATGTTTTTTGCAGACTGGTCAATAAATTTTAACCCAGATCCTGCAAACCTGCCCGAAAACAATGAATGTGAAAAGTAAAAAAGAAGCGCCATGTATTCGCCAAAAACATGGACATTAGGCAGAGAAAATATGGGTAAACGTTATGTTTGCTGATGAAACCGCTCTGCAGAAATTGGTTGTGTGTCAGCATTATGTTAGAAGGCCTCCAGTAAAGATATATGATAAAAATATACAATAAAGACACACCCTCTCAGCCAGATGCTTTCCACATTCAATTATTGTCTGGAACAGCATGTTTATATTTACCGAGCACTAGAACAATCATGAAACTGTTTCAAGGGCTTACGCCCACATCACGTTTAAATACCGGTTTCCGTACGATCACTGAAGTTAAGCAACGTCGAGCCTGGTCAGATGAATGAGCGCTTGGGAATAACAATGCTGTAAACTTGTGCAGCTGGTATAATCGATAATGGCTTGGCATTGTTAATGGGAGAGCCAAGTTCATATTCTAGTTCTGTTCGTTATCGTCACTTATGAGCAATTACTCTTGGGAAAGGTATAAACACACCTCTTCTCCCTACAAGCTATGGGTTAAACAGTAAGTTAAATATTCTTCTCTTGCTGATAAATTTTTTACTCCTGAGGCAGTGGAGATTTCTGGGGTTATTGGCCCTCGTTCGAGTGTATGAGTTGAGAGTGAGTGAGAGAGAAGGAGGAGAGGGGCAGAGAGAGAAAGAAAGAAAGAAAGAAAGAAAGAGAGATAAATATGTTTATTATCCCCATAAATGATTACACCTCTACCACATTTTATAGAACGTTTTCCTATGCCAATCGCAGTAAAAGTTTGTTATTTCTAGTAGAAAATAGGGCAGTCAAAATAAATATTATCCACTACTGTTTATGACCCAAATTTACATGACTGAAAATCCGTTGTCAGGAATATGAATACATTGCCTTCCAAAAATCAGTACATCTTTAGAAAAAAAAAAAGAGTTTATTCATTCTATATTGCAAGTGTATTTTAAAAGCATAATTGATGATCTTTTCAAGAGGAGATTAAAATATGCGTAGAGTATCCAATATCACAAGAAAAATGTAAACATTAGACCTCTACAGATGCGACCAAGACAATTATGCCGGCTGGCATTGAGGTTTACTCATTTTAGCAGGAATAGGTTGATGAAAACCAGAGAAAATCGTCTACTATTATTGCTGATTAGGCTAATATATCTATTTTAAAAAAAAAACAAAACAAAAAAACAAAAAACAAAAAAAAAAAAAAAAAAAAAAAATCAGATTACATGACTGAAAAGTAGAAAGAGATGCCTCACTTTATCTATTAAACAGTTTGTATTACGTCTGATCGGTTTGTGCATTTGAAAAATCCTAGTAAAGAAAAATGCATTCTCCGGTAGGTATCGAACCTGCGTCTCCCACCGCTTGATCCAGTGTGCTTTACAGTGTGCATAAATAAAGCAATTTATAAAGAAATGCCGGGGAATGCATTTTTCTTTAATAGGTTCTCTCGAGTGCACAGACCGATAGACGTAATACACACGTTTTAATAAATAAAAATGAGGCGTCTATTTCGAATACGAAGTATCCACTAAAATAATCTTTGAAGTAATAAAAACGTCGGATTAAAAATAATTACATTAATTCTTTAGAAACTGCTTTGTTGTCGTTTTGGATACAAAAATTTGTAGATACGAAAGAACAAGAAAAGGATGGAGGAAAAATGTGTGTCATTTATGTTAGCTTAAGCATTTTTCAAAATTTAAGAAACAACTTCTGCAATTCATCTAATTGTCTTATTGAATAACAACTTTTTTAGTTTCCAACTCGCTATATTTTACGATATAATAGTTAATGACGCAGCAATCTGGTTGGGGTGGTGGATACTTCAATGTCCGACATCGACTGACTCACTCAACTCCACTGAGCCCAACTGGCGACCGCTACTACTACTACTACTTATTATGTGTGGGAGAGTCTATTATAATAGAATAGGTAATGTTCCGGTATAACACTATGTCTTTGGCGCTTAGAAGATTTTCATGGAATATATTTATAATTTTGTTGTACTGAATAATATTACGAATTTTGTTAATTTTTACAAGAACCAAATTTCGATTAGTGTCTTTTCACGAGGAAGAGGTTTCAAGTTCGTCCCAGTGACGTCATCGTTTCTTTTCAGTTTTTTTTTTTTTTAATGTGCCAATATAGAGTCTTTGTTCAAAGAACCACTTTACTTTCTTTCTGGTCAGTGAACGTATAAAAAAAGAAAAGAAAAGAAAAAGTAATTGCAATCACCGGCAGAGGGCGGTAGTTGCACACGGAAATCCATTTTGGATAATTTAGCGGATTTTTTTTTTGCCCAGTCAGAATATCGGAAATCTGCGTACCATAACAAGCAGACGATAACATTTGACACGTCTATTGTTTCTCCATCAATATTTCTTTCCATAAAACTTCACCGTCTTAAGATATTCCCTCTCTCTCTGAGTATTGGTGAAACTTTTGTCAAACTGTGAGTTTGTCTATGCCATAGTTATTTTAATGTTGGTTATATTGCCTCAGATCTGCGTGTTAGCATTAATTAATACTGCTTGCAAGTGTGGAGAAAGATGGATAGATAGTATACACTATATGTACAGATGTGGGTGTCTATGAAAAAGAGAATGAGAGAGAGAGAAAAATAAAGAGAAAAAAGAGAGAGAAAGAGATGAAACAAAACAAGAAAGATAAAACGAATATTTTGTGTGAAAAGGGAGGTGAATGGCAAAGATTCTTCAAGAAGGAGAAAATAAAAATAATAAAAATAATGTAAGGAAGGGATGACTCAGTTTTTTAATTTGTTATCTTTTCATTTTTTAAATGTTATTGTATGTGCGAATTAAAATTAGGGATAAACCTTCCAAAGTTCATGTCTTTTTCGACCGTCCCAGTCATTATAAAGAACTTCCATTTCGTAAAATACATCTATTGGCTGCTTTAGTACACATCATCAGTGATGTTTCTAGCCGAGGTTCATTAGGGGTTTCGGGTCTTTCAACATCATACCTCCTCTCTACGGTGACCCAGTCGATACTGATCGGGTATCGACTTGTTTACCTTCCGTCAGATACACTTTTTTCCATCTTCCAAACTCCACACCATGTGACTCTTCTTGGCAATTTATTGTCCAATCCAGGATTACTTCCGGTTCACCAGCAATGAGCGTTCTTCCTTAAAAAGAAAAGAAAGCACACGCAGCCACAATTTCTAACTGATCAGGAATAATGGCGGCCTGCTTGGCTTGAAGTGGTAAGTACCAATTTGATTCCCCTCAATGAGATACACACACACACACATAAACAGAGAGAGAGAGAGTGAGAGAGAGAGAGAGAGAGAAAGAGAGAGAGAGAGAGAGAGAGAGAAAGAGAGAGAGAGAAACGCGCTCAAGCCTGACATTCTGCTTACACTTATCCCATTTTCATTCATGTTAATCATCAGCCGAAGAAAAAGAAAAAAAAGTTATCTCCTTTTCCTCACACACACATGTAAAAAATAAATAAATAAATAAAAAAATACCGTAAGCCTGGTAGGAGGGAGCAAACATGTACTAGATCGTAGCCAGGGATCACCCGTAGGTAACAATGGTTTGAGGTACCCTAATTCTGTCCTTTAGTCGAGATTTCATTGTCGGATGTAGTTTTAGGTCATACCCAAGACCCACTGAATATAACCGACGATGTAGATAAATTTCTATTTCGGTTTCTGTAGAAAGTAGGTTTTACGACGTGGAGTTGCTAGCCCTAAGCCCAATTTTGAATTTAGAGTTGTACTTCTCCTAGACCGGTTGCCAACCAATGCTAGAGAACCCAGTTTACCCTGTTATTAACTCCTAGCTGGTGGGAGACGAAGAAATGTATTTATACCATTCACAATTGTATTTATGGTAAAGTGAACACAGCGGCCTTGTACAGAATTTGAACTCGACACGTCAATCACATTTTCTGCGCTGATAGCCACTAGGCTATGTGCGCATCCAAATATTGTCATAGTGCAACAAAATATTCGAATGGAAAGTTCAGTCATTATACAAAAGTGTGATATCCAATCTCCTATATGGCAGTGAATGTTCGACAGTTTCCTCATAGATGACGCGGAGATTTGGAACAACAGAGTTCTGGTTCCACAGAAGGATTCTAAGAATACAATGAAGAAATGCAAAACATTGAACAACGAAGAAATGCAAAATGGCGTCTTGTTGTCGAATAGTTGTTACCAAACTGGCCTTACTAAACTTTACTATTTTAGTGCGCTTGATTCTTAATGGTTATCCCACAGTTAAGGCCTTAACTCTCAGATCAAACTTTTCTTTTTTTTTACCATTGTTCACCCAATGCAAGGCTCAAGGACCACTCAAGGAAGAGGGTTATTGTTTTATTAGTGTAAGAAGTGGCAAGATAACAGGAAAGTTAGCCAATTCCAGATTTGAAGAGGTCAAGATTTAACTACTGAATAAAATTACAGTGTTAAGGCGGAGACGTTATGAGTATAGAGTTGAAGTAGATTTTAGAAGGGAGCAGAAACCCAACCCTGAACAAGAAACAAGGGACAGACCCCTGCTCCTGTCCAAAAGACCGTGGAGGAGTGTAACTGGACGATGGGCAACTATAGTTGATCTATAACACGAAAACTGCACTCCACTTTTCCACAGGCGGAACGTTGCTAGCATCTCTCTGCTCAACTGATATTTTCATGGCAGATGTTCAGGCGAAATGCATTGTGTGGTTCCGCCAGTCCATAGTTTCTCGGCTAGGATCCACCATGCCATATGCACGAAGTCAACTCATCCTCGTCACCTTCATATTCCATTAGTCAAGAGTAAGTTCCACTCAGACAGCTTCTTTCTCAGGACTGTTGCAATGTGGAACAAACACCTGAGTAGTTTATATAACACTGATTTTTAGATTAAATTATGAACGTAAGTATTGTTTACTCGCCGTCAAGTTTGAAGTCAGAAATAAATTACTTATGTATGCTTCTTTGCAATTTTAATTACTCACGTGAAAATACTTTTGACAGGGAGTGATTAAACACCAGGTGGGGACGCGGATGCGCCTGAAAGATAGATTTACTTATCCAAATATATTTTTTCAACGACAGCTTACACTTCAAAATATCAATTTTCGATATATATTCAATGAAAATACATCTATTTTATACTATAGAGCTAAATGTTCTCATAAAGTTTGCAGGAATTGCTAATAACATTTCAGTTAGTCGGCAACATGCATGTACTTGTAAAATATTTTTTTAATATTATACTTTAGTTAAATTTATGAAAAAATTTCGCACCTACAACAGTGCATCTTCATTTGTGTCCTTTGGTGCAAAGATAAATGTCACACCTGGTAGAGGAACATATTGTTTCAGAATACGTTATCAATATAATGTCAATCTTCATCCTGGAACAGGAAAAATGCAATATGGCACTCACTAGTAAGATGATTTCGAATACATTTAATTATAAATCGACCATATTTTTAAGTGAATCAGTTATAAATTAAATTAAATCTCTATCTATAAAAGGCAGGATGTGTGTGTATGTGGGGGGGGGGTAACGAATGCACGGCCACAATTTTCGACGGATTTGCACCAAAATTTACATGCACATGCTCCAAGTTAGCGGGAAGGCCAAGACTGACTTTGCATTTCCCAACTCCCATCGATAGTGGAAATAATCGATTTTTTCATGCTTCTACGGCAGTTTTCATGTAGTTTGCGGCCATTTTCTACTGGCCAGAGTGAGAGCTTATAGCTGGCTGCCACGAATAGGCAGGAAGATTCTACTGGCCAGCGTGAGAGCCAACAGCTGACTGACACGAATTTTAACTAGCATGCAAAAAAATTCGATAACTGCATTCGTCACACGTGGGAAAAATTTAAATCTGCATGGCACTTTACTCCAATTGGCTTGCTTAAACTCAACGTTGATTTTGATTCCGCAGAACTGGGTTGGGTGTGAAAAAGTATTTGTTGCTAACATTCTTTTTTCATTCGGTTTTTCCAGTTTTTTTCAAGTTCTTTTTAAAGCTGATCGTTTTGTGTTCATTTTGTTTAGTTCTCTTTTTCGTAACAGATTTAATGTTTAGTATAGAGCTTAGAAAAAATTCGCAGTGTGAGATAGGCAAGAAGTAAGGCATGTAGCAACATCCGCACGGCAAAGGGCACTCCTTTAAAGTCAAGGAAGGGCAAAAATATTTTAAGTCAAGTGATAGCGATTACTGTATGAGTCGTACGATTTTTGAATCAAGTACGGACAACTCCGGGCCATGCTGCTAGTAGTAAATAAATTCAAATATGTAACTAGAATTTTTTAAAAAAGTCAATTTAAATACCAGTCGAGTAAAACCTTTAAAAAACAATTATAAAAATGTTAACGTTATTTTCACTTTTCATCAGAAATGGAATTGACAAGGTGTAATTGATCTTTAATTAAAATAAGGGGCAAGGTAAGTTGCTCAGTAAGGGTTACAAATCTTCAAACGGAGGATATTAGGTATATTTCAAACAGATTAATACAGAGCGTTGCCAATTCGATATATTTCACAGCTAGGTTCCCGATTACTCTTTATGGCCCAACTTTATCCAAATAAAACCTATAAAAGGGATTCTTTTAAGGTACGTTTGGAAAGGTAAATAAACTAAGTAAATTCTCTATTATAGCTAGAAAAGGCAGGCTGGCGTAGGATTTTAAAATAGATTAAACTTTGTATTCGCAAAATTACCTCGGATCAGGTTAATTCGTGTCCATAAAAATCGTAAAATCGACAAATAGTCTATTACTGTCCAGTACCCCAGGTGTTTATGTGTCTTCTCTGTTTCAGGTTCTCCTATCGTCCGGTTCACACTCCTCCCCGCTTTTTTGAATAGGAATAGTTTATCTCTTGTTTTCTTTTAATCATTGGGTTTCCAGTCCCCTTTACATTCTTTTCATTCACTTTCACTCCCAGAAATTTCATGCGTCTTAGTGACATTATCGCCTTGCTTGTGGTGAATTTTTGAAAAAAAATCATAAATCAATCCCCCGGGAAGTAGCCGACCTCTAAAATCGGTTTCTAGCATTGTTGCACTTATGTATTCGATATATTTCATAGCTAGGCGTTCTTAATATCCTATAAGACATGTCTTTATATGAAGGAGTCCTAAAAGAGTTCTTTTAAGTTTGCACAAAAAAATGTACACAAACGACGTAGATCATCTACGATAGGAATTGCCACAGACTTAGAAAAAGAAAAAAAAGTATCGAAAAAAGCATTTTAAATAATTTAAATATCTTTGAACTTAAATTTCGGTTCTATTTGAAAGGTAATGGCCCAAAGCTAATCTGAATTAAAAGAAAAATTAATTTCTGTATATAGATATTTTTAAGTCATTTTTAAAACATTGGTACGTTTTTATCACTCATCAACTCATCGAGCCCCCGTTGAATACGAAAAATATAAACATCAAATTAAAAATTTCTCTATTAAAATACAATATTAAATTCTCTTTAAAATACAACATTTAGAGATGTTTCGAAGTTTATTAATAATTTTAAGACCTAACTCCCGGGATTTTCTAAAACTGATGCTTACCTTTTATTTAAAGCAGAATGAAAATAATGAAATAGAAATATTGCAATTCTATCCCTTGTTCGGAAAAGCGTGTGATAAAGTAGAAATAAAAATAAATCCTTAAGAAATACGTAAGAATAGCAGTTCTATAATCAAGAATTTGTTACTTATGCTTAAAAATACATTTTCTTTAACCAATAGTTTAAGAATATATTTTTTATTTTATATATTCCTATTAAACTTAGTATGATGAATAAATTTGAAGACACCAAGGCGCTACGAAAACAGAAATATAGTGTAAATATAATTTTCTACGTAAATACTAAATTCGATACTTTTTTTTCCGAAATGAAAGCAAAAAAAAGAAAAGAATACATTGCTAGACCTTGTTTTAAAATATTTACCAAAAATCAGGAAATTCCCCGATTCAAACGAAATTATCAATATTTATTCATTAATAAATTAGATTTTTCCTGAATAGATTTTTTTTTATTAAAAATCTTTTTGTTTAGATATATATCACACCCGTATTCGATATATAGTGTGTACTTTTTAATTTAGGGGTGTTCGCCCAATTTTTATGCCTAAAGAGTATTATTTCAGTAAAAATTAATGCAATATCAAGTGTGAACGTAAGGAAAATTCGGCCCGCATCTTACTCAAAACAATTCAATAAAACTCAAAAATTATTTTTTGAGAATTCGTGCTTGTATCTCTATATATAAAACAGGATGTCTATGTCTGTCTGTCTGTTTGTGTGATATATTTTCACTTGAGATCCATCCAACCGATTTTGACCAAACTTGGCATCTACAATGTACAATGTAAGAGATAGGCCTTTAGCGT